TTTTTTTTTTTTTTTTTTTTTTTTTTTTTTTTTTTTTTTACTAGATTATATGTTGTTCCCCAGAGTGAATGTAAAATTGATTAAAACCAAAGTGTTACATCCTTAAGCCATGTGGAGGTTGCAGCTGTAACACAATATGACAACCTGTTGGGGAAGGTTGATATTGTGCAGAAAACTTCTTATCCAGGTAATATGGCGGACTTCTGATAGATTCTGGCTAGCATTCAAGATGTTTGGTTAGAAGTTTAAAGACCTAAATAATTAGGGTTTGAGCTGTATAAGTGACTTCTTTAATTCTGGAACACAGAAGAATTTAGCTAACTCTTTTTACCAAGTATTTCATCCCATCCACAAAGAAACAGTAATTTTTTGTTTCTAGTCAGAAGTCTTAATAAAATTGCTTGGTTCATGTTGCTTCAGTGGTGGGTCCTGTTAAAGTCAGTATGTGCCTCCTGAAACCTAATTTGTGGGCTGGAGTTACTTATTGTTGGCTGGCCATATTTTCACCTGAGGCTCTGGAACAGTGGTCCCAATCTTCATTCTACCGTAGGCCTCAATACTGAGCAGGGAATACACAGTGGGCAAGAGCATACTTCATTCTCCCTTCATTCAACCTGAGGAAAAATGTATCTTAGGAAAGAAAAATTTCCTGTTGCCATGAACAGCGTTGCAAAATCCTGCAGACCACGTTTCACATGAGCTCTTAAAGAAGATGCAAGTGCACATGAATCCGCTTCGTTGTTATGTCATTAACCTATTTCCTCTTCTGAGTTCACATAAAGAATTTATTACTACTTTTTGTATTGTCAGCAAAAAACCAGTGCATCTTGGGTTGGTTAGTTGCAGAAATTAATGAAAAAGCACAGATCCTTCTAAGCAAGACAGAACAATTGGAAAGCTTAGTTTCAAAATGAGTCAGAAACCTAGACTTAACTTTAGATGTCTAAGGGAATATAACTTCTCTTTTTTTGTTTGGTTGGAGAGAGCCTGCTCTTCTTGTTGTTCAGGGTTTTTCCCATTGCTTTCTGTTAGGCAATTTTTATGTACAAATACTGTCTACACTCTTATATTAAGTCTGCTCATACTGAATTGGCCAGTTATGAGGGGCAAAGCACCTTTTCAGTGCTGGTCACTGTCCTTATTGCTATAATGGAAAGTCTAAACATCGTATTTGTAGAATGGCTCTGCTAAGAATCAACACTATAGGGGCTGCTGTGTAACACCCAGATACAATATAATATAGTGATGGATGTGGTGCCCAAGGAGGCTGGGGATAGCCACCCTGGTCCCTGACCCCCTTATGGTCCATCCCGCTTGTCAAACCTTACCCAGTCCACTCTTACCTCCAGTCTTTTTGCTGCCACGACTTTGGAGTTTCTCTGTTGGTTGTTGGGAGGCAGTCCCTGGGGCCAGCAATTACCTTACAGGTCTTGATTTGCCTGGTCAGGCTAGTCCCACCTCAGGGCCTTTGCCGTCTTTCTGGTACTGCCCCTGTAAGGGGGTGCTCATGTAGGATTCCTTTCCTACGGTCTACTTGATAATCTCCACTCCTCTGTTTTGGGGCTGACTTCTGGTACCTATTGCAGCAGAGTGCACTCAGGCACCCCTGCCCGTGGCCTCCTTCACACCTATAGCCACAACCTGGTCCTCTAGTCACAAGTCCAGAAGGAAAAAACAAAACTCAGACCAACTGCTTCACAACAGATAGTCTTCCTCACTTGAGATGAAGTGTTGCCCACAGGCCCTACCTTTCATCAGAGCCCTTTTACCTGTGACTCCCCCAGGGCAGCTTGTTTCTGTCCCCAGCAGCTCCTTTCTCCCAGGTTCCTCTCCCTGCAGCAAGCTGGGGTTGCCCCTGCCTGCCCAGGGACTGGGCTTGTGTTCTCCAGCCCAGCCTCCTTCCAGTCACTGGATTGGCCCTTTTGCCCCTCTCCCCTAGGGCCAGATGTAGCTAATTGCCTCATTAGCTGCATGACCCCTGGTTCTTTACCTAATCAAGCCCTCCTAGTAACAAGGGCAGGAATTCCCTGTTAAAATGTGGAACATAATCATCTTTTGTTCTTAAAGTAAGATTTTGCCAACTTGGCAATAGTTAATGCTGGCATATGTTCAGCAGAGGAGGTTACATTTATAGTACGTGACATCGGATCTATTTTGCCATTCTTAGGTAATAAGGATTGCCTGGTTCAATGTCTCCACTAATATGAAAATCCTAAAGATTTCTTGATCAAATCCTGTTTGGAAAATGTCTGTTAGGGATAAAAAGGCGAAGCATGCTCTATTTGTTTCCTGGTCTCTGTCACTACAGACTGCAGGGGCCATAAACAGCTCTGCTTCTCTCCCATCTTTGTACCCTGTAGCTCCACTCAGTTGCTGGCAAGCACAAGTGGATGTCTCAGATGTACATAAATTCTCAGATTATTGTTGGCTTCCAATGGTTAAGCTTTATTTTTGAGAATGGCAGTTTGGTTGAGATGTGGCCCAAAGCTTGTCCACTTGAGCTTGATCCACGACTCAAAGCCACCTTTGACTAGCTCCCGATGGAGATGAAGCTATAATCCAGACCGTCCAATGGTGGGCTTTCCCCAAAAAGTCCTGCCCCTATCTGTGGTAGAGGCTTGTCTCTATCGGTGTAGGTGTTGTCAATCTCTGGAGCTCATCACTTGTCTGAGCTGCTGTTTTTCCTTTTCTTCCTTTCTGATTCTATCTTCTACACCAAGACAACTTTAGCACCTCGGCTAACAAGCCGAAGTCTACCGCGACGTCTTGGTGACCCCTCCCACATGTCCGCAATCTCTCCTGCCACGGCTCGTTGTTATGGGAGAAAATAGAATGCCGGGGCGTGTGGGTCTTGATGCTTTGAATCTTGCAATTTGTCTTAGTGTAGTGAGGGCTCCACCAACCCCTACACCCTCTCCTGTTCCACTGGGTGGTTATTCAGTTGTCTCCACAATCTGTCTTCGAGCAGTAAAAAAAAAAATGCTTCTTGGGTCTCTGGGTCTGGCCACTCAGTATCCCCGATGGGCCCGGTTGTACCTCGCCCAGCTGGCACCTGCCACAGACTGGTCAGTAATCCCAGCCAGTCTTTTTCCTGGCTTATTGTCCTGATAGTTGTAAACGCACTATCCAGGGTGACTTTCCTCTCACCCTTCTAACTGCCTCGCAGCAGTTTCTGTTTCTCTCTGGGCGTTTCCCTCAGGGCTTTCTCCCCTGGCAGCTCCCTCCCACAGAGTTGCTTTCCTTAAGCCCAGTCTCCCTTACTTCCTCAGTGCCTCTGGCTCTCCCTGCCATCTTGCTGCCTGAGTCAGTCTCTTCCGGTTTCCTGTGTCCCTCTTTTGCCTGCCCCCTGTCTCCTTTTATCCTGGAGTTACAGCTGACTTCCCCTCCCCTCCTGAAACAGCGGGTGAAGAAGGAGCCCTGCAGGGTTCTTTGCAATACAGGTGTGGCCATTTTACTTCTTTGGGGCTCTTCTCTCTCCTCACACAGACCTTGCCTTTGTTCACAACAATATAGAAGTTACGTGCAAAAAGGACATATTGGAATTCGTTCCACACACACAGCACAGACCAATTGCTATCAAATGTCATAGCATCCATAATTCCAACTATGTACCAATGCACAGATGCTTCAATTTTAAGAAAGCAGACTGAAGAGGCTTTTCTTAAGACCTGGACAAATAGTGACACACACTGAACCAGTCTCAGATAGCTACAACCTCTTCATGAATGCACTATGCAAAACCTCCAAGGTTACCTCAAGGTTGCAGAACTGAGTATATACCAGGGTTTACTCTTTACTCCCATGCCAGCAGCAAAAAATACCAGCAAATATTTCAAAGACATCCATTCTCAAATGACACTATTATGGCAAGGGCAGCACTACCTAACAAGCTCCAGTAAGAAAGGTGACAAAAATGGAAAGAATCGATTGAAGGAATAGATATGACCTACACTAGCAGGAAAGTATGATTAACCATTCACAAGATAAGGAACTACTCAAGGGAAGTACAGCAATACCACCATGTCACAGCAAACCAGGTGACTCACCAGCCTCTGTTCAACAATAAAGCTCTGAACAAACAGCCTAAAATGCAGATTAGACAGCAAACTGATCTGGAAGAAAATCATTTTTGCACACCATACACCTAGGATGAACTTGATCCTGGAATAAGTAAACTGAAGAATAGCAAAGCAGCTGGACTTGGCTACATATGCACAGAGAAGATCAAGCACTTTGGCCCTGAAACCAAGTTATGGATAATTATGCAGTTTTAATAATTCCTCATCAACCCTTAGAATACCCAAACTATGGCGACAATGCCATGTAAAAGCTCTATTAAAGACAGGGAAGGATGCCTCTGGCCCAGACAACTTTAGGGTAGTGTCACTTCTGTGCCATCTTTATAAGCTTTATGAACTCCTTATTCTCAATCACCTTTCACCTCATATCAAACAACATCTAATACCAGAGGAAGTCAGATTTAGACCAGGCAAGTCCTGCATTGGCCAAATACTAAACATCACCCAGCATATAGAAGATGGATTCAAGAAAGGGTTGATAACAGGTGCTGTTTATAGACCTATCAGTGGTCTATGACACAGTCAGCCACCAAAACCTGCTTGCCAAAGTCCACAGTATGACATGTGACTACCACCTACCATGCAGCTCATCCAATCCCTTTTGGAGAATAGACATTTTGGCATAGAACAGTGCAAGAAATGGAGCCACTGGAGATGACAATGAAATGGCCTCCCACAGGGTAGTGTGCTAGCATCAGTCCTTTTT